CTCCCTATAGTCCTCTGTCTCAAAGGAAAAAAAAAAAAAATCAACAAAAAACAAAGGAATCAAGGAAATTGGCTGGGGATGCAGAAGCCAGGGATGGGAATCGGAAGTGGGAGGGTAAGGGTGGATGGAGGAACACTCGTGAAAGTCCCAGCCCAAAGACATTTGTTGACAAAAGGAGATTTAAATGTAAGATTATAGAAAGTTCCCCTTTATCTTCCACACTCTATCACCACACTAACAGGGCTCCAGTATCATCACAATGAATTAATACTGAAAGAGTTATAAGATGCAAAGTATAAGAAAGAGTATTTAGGAAAACACAAAGTAAATGTGGGACTCAAAAATAAGGGCATTAAAGGAATTTGAAGTCTCTAACACCTATAGTTATAGCAAACATTAAACATAGCCCAACTCCTAGAGAGATTAACATGTATTCCACGCTAAAGACCTATTTTACTCATTTTTCATTACTCAACACAAATGTTCAATTTTCAACAAAAAATTACAGGGCATGCTAAAGATAAGAAAAATCCCCCGAAGAAACAAAAGCAACCATCAGAACCAGACTCACATATGAGACAGATGTTGGGATTTTAATGAAGATAACTTAAATAAGCATAATTAATATGCTACGAGCTCTAATGGAGAAAGCAAACAACCAAGAATAGATGAGTAATATAAGCAAATATGAAAACTTAAGAATCAAAAGGAAATGCTATAAATCAAAACACAGTAAAGGAGATGAATAATAACTTCGACAAGATCATTAGTAAACTTGACATGGTCAGAAATCATAGGCTTGAAAACAGGTCAATAGAAACATCACAATTGATATTTTAAGAGGAAAGTAATGAAAGCACACACATACAGAATAGAACATTAAATAACTGTGGGACAATTTTAAAAGGTGTTACATAAGCAAAATTGGAATACAGAAGGAAAAGAAAGAATGAAATCAAAGAAGTATTTTAAGTAGTAATGACCAAGAACTTTCCAAAAGTAATGATACCAAACTGTATATCCAGAAAGCTCAGACAAGCTGGACTGAAAAACAAACAAATAACAACCACCCCATGTGTTATGTTTAAACTCCAGAAAAAAAATGCCCTACCTATAGAGATACAAGAATAAATATTATAGCAGACTTCTCATCAGAAATGAAGTGAAGAAGAGGAAGGTGAATCAAATATTTGAAATGGTGGAAAAGGGGACTAGAGTGAATAAACTAGAAATCTATATGCAGCAAAATTACCAATCAAATGTGAAAAAGAAATAATGACTTTCTCAGACAAGGAGTGATAAAATTCATTGTAAGCAGAACTTCCCTGCAAAACAAAACTTTTCACACAGAATAAAAATGATACAGACTAGATATGTGAATCCACAAAAAGAAAGAGTAAGCATAGGATAATAAAGGCAAAATAAAATATTTTAGACTTCTGGGGAAGATTGTGGAGTAAGAGGACCCTAAGCTCACCCATTCCATGGATACAACTAAATAACACTCACATCAGTATAAGTAACCCAGAAAATGATCCTAAGACTAACAGAACAAACTCCACAACTAAATGTAGAGAAGAGGCCACATTCAAGAGGGCAGTAAGGGTAGAGACATGGTCTGGAGCTAAATGAACTCATGGGTCTGTCTGTGGGAGGCAGGGAGTCACAGTGCAGAGAGGGAAGAAAAACAGACCCTCACACCAGGGGTCCCACATGGGGAAGATGAATCCCCATAACATCTGGCTTTAAAAGCCAGAGGGGCCTTGAAGTTTCATGAGTTCTTACAACCAGAAGGAATTAAAAACTGTATTTAAAAAATCAGCAGTGTTGGCTGGGGTCCTGAGGAAACTGAGCCCCTGCCCTTCAAGACAGAGCACAACAAACAGACCTTGGAGATAACAACACAGAATCAACACTTTGAAAGGTCCTGGGGCACAGTGAAAAGAGAGTCAGTTGGACAGATATACCTGAGGAACTCCTCCATGAACAAAGAGTTAGCAGGCACCATTTCCCTTCCCCACCTCTCAGCATAAATACAAATGCAGTATTCACTACCTAACTTGCTAGCACTGCCACCCCTCCCACACTGTGCTTCCACCAATCCACCCCTCCAGATAGTTTGCCTCAGTCCAGGCACTGCAGGGCCCCTCCCTCAGAGTACTAGGGGGTGCAAAGCTTGCTAGAACAACTGCCCTGTTCTTCCAGGGATCCATCCCTCCAGACAGGCCCACTTCAGTCGCAGCATTGCTGGGCCTCTCAGGCAGAGGACTGGGGACACTCAAAGCTTGTTAACACCATAGCCCTGTCCCTTAGCACTGTGCTTCAGAAGATCCACCCGTTCCAATACCCTCTTAGATAAAACCCATATATGGTGGTGTCACAGGCCTCACAGTGTGCAAGCAACCATGACAGTGGCCAACACAACTCCAAAGTGACTCATGTCCCAGAGAGAGGGAAAGATAATGACACATGCCAGTCAGAAGCCCCAGCAGTGGGTGGGCATCAGACAATTGGTTTTGACTACAGCCTCCATCCATAAACAAAAGCCTCTCAGGGAACAACACAGGGAAAGTACTCAGCAGTTTGGTGCTACTTCATCTCAGGCAAATGTCTGGTCTGACTTAACTTAAGGCCAAGGCATCAACAGACTGGGCCAATAACATCAGAGGACCCAAACACTGCCCAAAACAGGCAAAGAAGTCCATTGCAGCAAACTGGACCAAAGGAAAAAGCAGTTCAGCCTCATTACCAGGGTGCACACAACACACATAAGAGATACCCATGAAGGTCCAGGTTCTAGTGAAAAGGGGACACTGCATGGCAGGACATTATAGGACCTATTCTTCATAAGGCCATTACTTTCAAGTACAGGAGACATAGTTATCTTTCCTAAAATACAGAAACACACAGAGTGGGGTGCTTGGGTGGCTCAGTCGGTTGAGCATCTGACTCTTGGTTTTGGCTCAGGTCATAATCTTGGATTTGTGGGATTGAGCCCTGCATCGGGCTCTGTGATCAGAGCAGAGTCTGCTTGGGATTCTTTCCCTCTCCCTCCCCCTCTGCTCCTCCCCCCACCCTCAAATAAATAAATAAATCTTAAAAAAAAAAAAGAAATACACAGAGAGTTAGACAAAATGAAAGACAAAGGAGTATGTCCAAATGAAGAAAACAGGACAAAATCACAGCAAGAGACCTAAATGAAATAGAGATAAGTAATATACCTGATAGAAAATTCAAATTAATGATCATAAAGATACTCACTGAACTTGAGAAAAGGTGGAGGACATCAGTGAGAACCTTAACAGTTAGATAAAAAAGAACTAGAAATGAAGACCACAATAAATGAAATTAAAATTCATAAGATGGAATAAATAGTAGACTGGGCAAAGCAGAAAAACAAATCAGCACCTGGAGAAGAGGAAGTAATCAAGCTGAGGAGAGAGAAAAAAATTATGAAAAATGAGTAGACTTAAACTCAGTGACACCAAAACTATAGTAACATTTGCATTATAGGGATCCTAGAAGGAGAAAAGAAAGCAAAGGGGGGAGAAATTTGATGAAACAATAGCTGAAATCTTCCTACATCTGTGGATGGAAATAGAAATCCAGATGCAGAAGGCACAAAGATACTCAACAAAATCAACTCAAGGGAGTCCATACCAAGACACATACTAATTAAGAGGGCAAAAACTAGTTATTAAGAGAGAATTTTAAAAGCAGCAAGAGAAAAAAACAAAAAACAAAAAACAGTTAGCTATAAGGGAAACCCCATAGGGCTATCAGCAGAAACTTTGCAGACCAGAAGAGAGTGGCATGATATATTCAAAGTGCTAAAAGGAAAAAATCTGCAGCCAATACTCTCTAACCAGCAATGCTATCATTCAAAATAGGAGAGATAGTTTCCCAGACAAACAAAAGTTAAAGGAATTCATAACCACAAAACCAGCCCTACAAGAAATCTTAAAGTGGACTCTGAGTGGAAAAGAAAGACCATAAGCAAGAGTAAGGAAAGTAGGAAGCAAAAAAGCAGTAAAGAACTATGTCTGTTAAAATCAGTCAAATGACTCACAAAATAAAAGGATGTAAAGTATGACACCATATAACGAAAATGTGGGGAAGAAAGGAGTAAAGAATGGGTTCAAATTTAAGTGACCATCAACTTAACACAGATTATTATATGCAGATTATGTTATATGCAAACCAAATGGTGATCACAAGTCAAAAACCAGCAACAGATACGTAAGGAATAAAGAGAAAGGAATCCAAGTATATCACCGAGTGGCACGAGCCAAGCTACTCATGCTGTTTGACAAGGTCCAAATATGGGGGATGATCCTGAAAAACAGTAGACTCCACAGCTGGCTCCTGCTACTCTCTTTCATTTTGTTTGTGGCAATCTTTGTAATTGTGGGAATATTTCTGGGGTTTCATGATAAAGTGACTACTCATCTTAGTTATGCCTATCTAAGCAATCAAGACAGTCACACTCTGTCTAGCACCTTTCTCTTTGCGTACTGTGTTTTAGTTTTAGCAGAAGTCAATAAGCGGAAGTCAATAAAGGTCATGTTAATCATTATGAAAGAAGGCTTTGTCTGTAATCCAGAAAATGATCTAAGATTATCTCAATAAATTGTAAAAAAACGTAATCACGTTACAAAAGTATGGAAAAACAAAAATATCCTAACATATAAATAAAGTTCCTCCGAGGCTGTCAGGAGGAGATGCTTGCAACCTGATCCTGTGTCTGTGTCTCTTCATTCGCCGACGCTGTCCTTTCCTATGAGAGACCCACCCCGGCTGGAGCTGGACTCCGGCAAGTGGCGCCCAACGTGGGGCTCGACTAGGTAAGCCTTTCTACAGGGACAGATAGGATTCTGCTCATGGGTACTGCAGACCCCTCTGTGAAGGAATACAGAGTGAGCAAAAAGACAGAACTTAGAAAAGCTATGGGCCATAATGAGTCAAAGGAATGATGACTCTTTATTGATATTATTAAGCATATGATTGAAAAAAGAGGTGTTAAGGTTACTCATGCTCAACTGGCTAGATATTTGACCTTTGTAGAGAACTGTGGCCCTTGGTTTCCGAAAGATGGTAGTCTCAATATTAGAATATGGAACAAGATAGGGGAGGAAATGCAGTTATACTATTCTAACCATGGTCCTGAAAATGTACCCGTGGAGGCATTCTCTTTATGGACATTGTTAAGAGATATGTTAGATCCTATGCCTAGCTCACAGGCTTTACACAAAAAATTATGGGAGACACATAACGCTGCCCCTGCTGAAGAGACATCTCTATTACAAAAATCAGCCTCTCATGTACTGGTAATAAATGAAATGAAATCAGAAGATGAGGACAAAGATAATAAAACAATTGAAGGGAGAGACGATCAATTGTCCTCCAAAGATGAGGTAGCTCTTGAGGAGGAGGCTGCTAAATATCATGAACAAGATTGGGAACTTTTTGCAAATGCCACAGTCCCTGAATGTGGCTCTGTGATTAATCTACATAGACAGTTAAAAGTTCCACAGAACAAGGCCTTAATTTGTAAAAAACCCTTGCCACCTATTAAGAATATTGGCTTTAAGGGAGCAATACAGGAGGCCTTGCGAGATGGGGATTTAACTTTTAAATGTTTTCCAGTGACTTTTGATGATGAATGGGACGAATCTCAGTGGGAACCACTCCCTTATAAGGTCTTTAGGGAACTAAAAAAGGCAGTTTCTGACTATGGTTCTACATCTCCTTATACTATGCAGTTGGTGGAGGCAATTGCTAGCCGGTGGATGACACCTTATGATTGGCATCAAACTGCTAAATCTTGTCTCCCTGCAGGGGTATATTTACTTTGGAAGGCTGAATATGAGGAGTTAGCAAAACAACAAATTGCTATTAATAGAAAGTCAGGCCGCCGCTCCATAACATTTGATATGCTTATGGGCCTAGAGGAATGGTCACAAGCCCGTGATCAACTAAATTTATCTAAGGAGGCTCTCAGCCAAAGCTCCAGCCTAGCTGTTAATGCCTGGAGATACCTACCTGCTGGAGAAGTAAAAACTATAGGCTTAAGTAATATCAAACAAAGTCCAGAAGAACCTTACCAGGATTTTTTAGCTAAGATTATTGATGCTGTTGAGAAAACTATTCCTAATGATGAAGCTGCACAAACCATAATCAAACAATTGGCCTTCGAGAATGCTAACGCAACTTGCCAAACTTTAATTAGACCCATTAGGAAAACTGGCACACTTAATGATTTTGTAAAAGTTTGTTCTGAAGTTACTCCATCCTATCTGCAGGGCATAGCAATAGCAGCTGCCCTTCAGGGACAAACAAGTACTCAATTCCTTGCCAATATAAATAACCCTAAGCTTTCCAAACCTAATGGACCCAATAATAATAGTACTGCCTGCTTCTCATGTGGCCAAATCAGCCACTTCAGTAGACATTGCCCTCAGAAATTAGGAGTTCTTCATGGAAGCACAAGTTCCCCTACCACTATAGCACCTCCAAAGACTCTATGTCCTCGCTGTAATAAGGGTTTTCATTGGAGCAGGGAAGGCAAATCTAAATATCATAAGAATGGGACCTTGCTTCCTCCCAATGGACCAAGACCAGAGAACAATACACCCAATTTACAACTTCCAACTCAAAATCTTTCAGGAAACTGGGTGTGGGGCCCGACCCAGGCCCCACAAATAACCGGGAACTCCAACAACCCATTCAGTACCAGAGAACTGTGTCAGACCTCACAAAAGCTACCCATGGGAGTGCAGGACTGGACTTGTGCTCCACCTCCTCAACAATATTAACTCCTGATCAAACATATGTGACTATAGCCACAGGGATTTATGGCCCACTCCTGGGTGGCACTGTAGGACTCATTCTGGGAAGAAGTTCTACATCCCTACAAGGGATAAAGGTTATATCTGGGGTTATTGATTCTGATTATGAGGGAGAACTTAAAATTATGCTGGAACCACCCCTTAAGACTATCCAAATTCATCCAGGTCAAAGAACAGCACAATTACTCTTACTACCCTTGGTCTCCCTTAACAATCCTGCAGCCATTGACACCCCCAGAGGCGAAGCAGGTTTTGGGTCTAGTGACATGGCTTTTGGGTTCAAAGGGTAAAGACATCTCGCCCTATAAAAATTCTTAAGATACAAGGAAAACCTATTGAGGGGTTGTTAGATACTGGGGCAGATGTAACTTGTATCGCAGGCAAAGATTGGCCTAATGCCTGGCCAACTAAAAGCACTCCCTCAACTCTGGTAGGTTTGGGATCCGCTAATAATGTAGCAAAGAGTTCTCAAATATTAAATTGGAATGACGGAGAGTCATCAGGGACTTTCCATCCGTACGTTATTCCCTCCTTGCCAATGACTCTATGGGGAAGAGATATCTTATCTCAAATGGGAGTGTTACTTCTTAGTCCCAATGATCAAGTTGCTGCTCAGATGTTGCAGATGGGCTTCAATCCCAATCAAGGCTTAGGAAAAAATCTTGAAGGAAGAACAACGCCTATAATTCCCAGTCAGAGGAAGCCCCGGGAAGGCTTGGGCTATCAATCAAATTTATCCTAGGGGCCATTGCTAAGGTTACAGCTGACCCTTTCGTTTGGAAAGACGATAACCCCGTTTGGGTGGAGCAATGGCCCTTAACTGAAGAAAAAATTCAGGCTGTAACCAAATTGGTACAGGAACAACTAGCCAAAGGCCATATAGAACCTACAAACAGTCCTTGGAATACTCCAATTTTTGTCATCAAGAAAAAGTCGGGAAAATGGAGACTCTTGCAGGACTTAAGAGCTATAAATGTTACCATGGAAAATATGGGAAGTTTGCAGCCAGGGCTACCTTCCCAGGTAGCAATTCCTAAAGAGGATCATGTTATCATCATAGATCTACAAGACTGCTTCTTTACCATACCCTTGGCTCCCCAAGACTATAGGAGATTTGCCTTTAGTGTCCCTTCTCCAAATCTTAAATGACCTTATCAAAGATTTCAATGGACAGTGTTACCACAAGGAATGAAAAATAGCCCTACTCTATGCCAAAAGTTTGTTGATCTGGCTTTAACTAGTTTTAGAGAGAATTATCCTCAGGTATATTGCATTCACTATATGGATGATATTTTGATAAGTCACTCACAATACTCCCTTTCAAGAGGCCTGAAATGCCTTTACCTTATCTTTGCAAGATTTCGGATTGATTATTGCACCTGAAAAAATTCAAATAAACCCTCCAATAAACTATTTAGGGCGCATTATTAATACCTCGACCATATCTCCTCAACATTTACAGCTAAGAACTGATTCTCTATGTACTTTGAATGATTTTCAGAAACTATTAGGAGACATTAATTGGGTGAGACCATATTTCAACTTGACTACCCATGACCTCCAGCCACTATTTAATATTCTTCGAGGGCATTCAAATCCCAACTCTGTAAGACAACTAACCCCGGAAGCAAAGGAGGCTCTTTCTAAAGTAGAAAGGGCTATTAACAAGCAACAACTGCAAAGGCTGGACTATACTAAACATTGGGAATTTATAGTCATACCCATTGCTCATACTCCGACTGGAGTATTATGACAGGAAGGACCCCTGGAATGGATTCACCTCCCTGGAACCACCAAGAAGGTCATCTGTGCCTATACCACCTTGGTTGCCCTATTAAACATTAAAGGAAGAACTAGGAGTGTTGAGCTATTTGGAAGAGAATTTCAATCATTAACCCTGCCTTATAAAAGGGAGCAACTTGATTATTTATTCCAACTGGATGATGACTGGCAAATTGCTATCCAATCTTTTACTGGAACTATTAAATATCATTTGCCTTCCAACCCTCTACTTCAATTCTTAAAAGAACAATCAATTATCTTTCC